GTGTCGCTCGAAGGAAGCCCTTGCATGGCTGATGATGCCGTTCATGCGGCGGGCGATGTTCGCCTCGGGGGGCACGAGGAAAGGAGCCATGTTCAGAAAGTAGGTCTCCACACGTGGCTCGTCTGCAGGCCACTCCAGCGGCACCTCTGCCCGTTCCACCGCCGGCTGCACCAGTTCCATCTGCAGCTTGACCTTGACGAAGAAGGACAGCTGCACCTGAAGGGAGCGCTCAAGCAAGCGCCGCGCAGCCCTGATGTCCTCGATGGTCATCTGAACATCAGCCCTCGGCTGCACCACGATCTCGTACATCCAAGCGCTGGCACGCTCTCGCACGCGCGCCTGGCGCACCTGGACCCTCTCATCGTCCGCCAGCGCCGCACCAAGGGCAATGGCAGCAGCCGCCATGGCTCGATGATTCGAATTGGGGAAAGAAAATGCTTGAGTTTTCTTAAAGGTCCCCGGCAAAGGGTCATCAACGGAAGGGTCGGGGCCGCTACAGCCCGTTTGTGTGGCAGAACTCCATACAAGACAGAGGAATGATGCTCGTATTCTCGTTGCGGGTGCAGTTCCTCGCAACCGCTGCGAACTCGAGCAGCATCTAGGAGGATAGGGAGGGTTCAAAAGCTCAACGCCGGCACAACCTACAGGCAAGCTGAACCTATTGGCACTCAAAAAAGCAGCTGGCGGAATCACGACTTGTTTTTTCGCTCAGAAGCCCAGCCACGAAGATGGTGAAGTAGTCGGAGCGAAGACCCGGGAGTCCGGCGTGGTTTTCTACAAGGACTACGAAGCTGCATGTGCGTGTGCGTCATTCATATTCAGCATGTCACTCGCTCAAGCAACTATCACGCAAAACGGATGCCACAGGATGGATACGCAGCGCTAAACATCTACAATCAAGAAGTCGCGAGAAAAAACAAAAATTGTCCCTCTCAGTTCACGCTGCTGCACCGGCTTGCTTCTGTTCACAGCCCGCGGTGCTTGCTGTGACCAATCCCAAGCACGACCTACCGCGCACCGAAAAGGCGGTGCGCCAATGGTCACTGCATCGGTTTGTGGCCCACTTCCTAAACACTCAGTGCCGCTGAACTCGCACGAACCTTCGATGCCTGAAGGTCGAAGCGTGTGGGAACCACCTCCCAAGACAAACATGGCATAGCTAGCCCCAAACTACCCACACGAGGAGTCTGTGAAATCAAACGACTGCTGCAATAAAGAATGCCTGCAGCGAGGTCCAAGCACCGTGGAACGACCTTCCAGCCCACGCGTGAGGACAGCAAAAGAACTGCCAAAGCATACCCGTGCGAGCAACAACACGCCTGCAAGGGCACATCAATGCACCACATGTCCCAACGTTTCAATGAACAACTAACAACATCAGCAAGCCAGTGGTCAAAGCTCTAGTTGCACAACGTCATGACAGCAGCACGGTGGTGGAGAGAGGCATGAGCACAGCAAAGGCTGGAAAATCGACACAGACTAGCAAATGCCAGGGCAGTCCTTTTTCACTTGCACCATGAACTGGAACTACTGCTGGATCCGACCAAGCACGCTTCTAGCAGCACTGCTGAATGCCCTGCCGCTGTACATTCCGTAGTATTCTGCGAACTGACCCTCGGACACAAGTATCAAGTTCTGGCCAGCTGGAGTGTCAGGTTTGATGTTTCGCAGCACCACGAAGATGTCATCTTTACCACAGGCTTTCGCACGCTCAGCTTCTAGGTCACAAGCTGACTGCCCATGCTTCATCTGCAAGCACTCTGCGATCAGATCGCCAGCCTTGGTCTGCAAGCGAAGGACCGCATCTGCAGCAGGTGCACCCTTCACATTCACAACAAGAACATCACTCCGCGTCAAACTGACCGTGGTCTCCTCGCCATCGACTTCGCACTCATGCTTTTCGAGATGGCTTGCGGGCATTGTCGCTGCTGAGTCTCTGAGGGGCTTTGGGTTGCCGCAGACATTTGAGGCCGTTGCTATGCGAATCCTTGCCTTGAAGCGCTTCAGATGGCGATTGATGACCATCTTCTCCGCTAAGGTACCTGGCTGTATGATTGCACCGCTGTGCAAAGAGCGTACTGGCACTGCTTCCTGTTCTTCGAAAGCCCAAGACCGCAACACTCTGAAGGCTGCGTTGAACTCCTCCCATTCTGTGCCATCTTGCGGTGGATCACTCAGAAACTGGCTGTAGTCCATCAGGCGCCATGGGGCCAGATCTTTAGAATTTGCTGCCACAGTGTTGAGCATCATGTGCAGCCATATGTACGGAACTTCAATGCGGCAGTGAGTGAAGAAATCATTGTACTGCAAACGAATCAAGTCTGCCTTCTGAGCATCGATGTTCACAAGCTTGTCACCTCTGCGAACCCATTTGCCTGACAGTGCCGTGCGAAGAACTGCTTTGATAGAGTCATCGTCGAAGGTTTTCGAGTCCGACCTGCCAAGGATGCCAGCGCGGGGGTACTTCAATGACAGTTGAAGCCTGACTGCCTCAATCACAGCAGCCGCATCGCTTTCATCTTTAAGTTCCCGCAGCGCCTGCACAAGAGCCTCTAAAGCTCGGCCGTGGCCTCCCATGTCTTGCACCAGCAAATTCTTGAGGCGATGATGCGGAACCATGTCCTCGCCGTGTTCCTCCACCCGGCTCACACGAGGGAGGGTTAGGCGGTGGCGCACCTGGGCTGAGAATGCCAGGCCGTGATCCAGACTTTGAGTGGCAGTAACGCATCCTACCACCAGCGCAGATTCCTTTTGGTTGACAAGCCGGCAAACTTCCCGCATGACCTCATAGAACGGTTTGCCTGCCTCCCCTCGCTGTTCGAAGCCTTCGAGGCCTTGCATGCCGTCCACTCCCAGAACCACGATAGTGGTCTCCTCTGCGCCCCGTAGCACGGCTCGCAACACCTGGCATACCACCATTTTTGGGGGGCACTGAGCACGGAACGCAGCAAAGTTTTGCGGAGCTCCGGCAGCTTTGAATGCCGCTCGGTTGGCCGCCCACAGCTGCCACAGCATGCGGCAGGCGATGAAGCGTGAGGCATTCAGCTCCACTGTTGCCCAGTCTCCAGGTGGGGTGTCATTCTCACAGGTGATCAGGAAGGCCAGGGTCTTCTTGTACTTCCGCACCTGTTCGGTGTTGAGCTTCTTGCGACACTCCTCGATCATGGCGGGGAGCTCTGAGAGGAGGCGGGATTTGCCCTGTCCTGGGCCGGCAAATGCTATTAGCAGCGGGTGGTTCTGCTTGTCTGCATCCACACTTTTGTGCTCACAAAGACGCGCGAAAGGCGCTTGCAAGTCATTGACAAGGTCTTCTCTGCCACAGTAGTCCCACTTCGCACCGATGGTGTTCAGCAGTGCGTCGCCAGCTCCAAACTCCAACTTTTGGTCGAGCAGTTTCTGACACCAGTCCTTCAAACAGACAAGGCTGCCCCTCCAATCCCTTTATCGTTGCGCTTCTTTGTTCACACCAAATCTCGAGAGTCGACCCTCATGCCCCAAACACAACTAGCCGACCCTCAAGTGCAAGCTGACCTGGCCTGGGCTGGACCCGCGTTGACCTCCTTCTTGGCCGCCTCGACCTCCCTCTTGGCCGCCTCGACCTTCTCCTCGGCCGCCTCGACCTCCCTCTTGGCCGCCTCGACCTTCTTCTGGGCCGCCTCGACCTTCTTCTCGGCCGCCTCGACCTTCTCCTGATCTTTCTTGTCTTTGGCGGTCTGCAAGTCAGCCACGGCCATCGCAAGCAGCTGCTGAGCGGTGTCCCGCCAAGTCTGAGCGGTTTCCCACCCCTGCGTTGTCAGGTCTCGTAATCTTTCAGCGTGGTCAAGCTCCTGCAGCCCGCGCAGAAGGTTTGAGCTCGCGATTTTGCTACAAAGCTGGCACCGAAAGCAACCCCCCCCTCCCCCCCTCCAAAGCACCTCTGCATCGTCCTTCCTTGAGTTAGCAACATCTGCTGCGTCAGCTTGCAAGCCCCTTTAATCACAATCAACCATAGCCTCGCCTTGGCTTTCTTCGCCGGTGGGTCCTGGTCAAACACAAAGAAAAAGGCTTCAAGCAACTAAAGGACGAAAAGACTGCGTGACGAGGTCCTCTGAGCTTGGCGAAGCGCCACGCTTGGTGACTTTTGCTGGCATCGCCATGGTGAAACAAATGGATGCTTCCCAACTTTGAACCAAAGCACTGTGCAGCAAGGTGGCCAACGGAAGGGTGCTCAACCAGCAAGTTGCAGCTGCACAACCTGCCTCGTCCACTTGTTGGAGGCCAGACCGTAGCCGTAGCCCGCACCTGCCAACAGCATGCTGTCATGCCCATGTTCACGAAACTTGCGCATGATAGGAAAGCCCGCCTCGTCACCCCTCCAAAAGGGCACCCATGAGCCCAGCCAGTCGCTACGCAAGAAAAACGAAGTCTGAACAAACCATGCCCAAAATGCAAACAAAAGTAAATCATGTCCATACTTCTCAAGCTTAACCTCCGTGAGTTCAGTCAGCAGCAAACCTGGAAGCCTGATGCAAGGTTGGAAACCGCCTACCTTCACCCCAACCTTCAAAAAAAAACGATTATTGATGCCGTCCTCCGACCGCAAGGAGCTGGGACGCTTCATTGGCTTTGAACCAAAGCACTGCACAGCAAGGTTGCAAAAGAGGCGAGCTCAAGCAGCGAATCTTTCCATGCGAGCAACAACGAATGAACCTGAACCATGACTGCACCAGCCAACCCTGTGTGTGTGTCGGTTCCCTGTTGCGCCTTGGGAGCCGTGGCTTGGTGTAAGAACCCATGACGCTCAAGACAACGCGGTTGATTTGTCGGCACAAAAACGACGAACCCACCCGGCTAAAATCAAGCTCTCCAAAAAAAACTGACATGTCAAACAACGATCATTGAAAATCGCAGCTATTCATGCTCACAAGCAACAAAAAATCATAGAAATTCCAAGAAAGACTCAAGCAAACTAAAAACACATCCTAAATTCAAGCTCAAGGATGAAAAATCGTGAACCATGCATAACCAAATGTTTTGCCTATTGTTTGGGTCTGTTGTGGGCAATATTTTTGGGCCAATTGAGGGCCAATGGCGGACCAGTTGCGGGCCAATCGCGCTCCATTTTTGAGACCAAAATTCCACAAAAGGCACGCTTAGCCGGGAACGGAATGCTGCCCTTTTTTTCGGCAGCTTTTCTGGGGAACAGAACGCTGCCTTCAGTTTCGGCGCCGAGCACTCAAGTCGGGAGAAAGGCCGTGTACCCTCTCAAAAAGAACGACCTGGTACGCAACGTTGCACGGCGGCCTAGGGAAAGTGCCATTTTGGTGCGCTCTCCATTATTTTCGCAAACTGCCCTTTTATTTTCGGCGCCGAGCACTCAAGTCGGGATAGGCCGTGTCCCCTCTCAAAAAGAACGACCTGGTACGCAACGTTGCGCAGCGGCCCCATGCAAGGTGCCATTTTGGATCATTTTGCTGCGCCCTCTTTATCGCAAATCCACCAACGAACCCTTTTTCTGGCCCGCGCCATAGGAAAAGAGACCGCCGAACCCGCCAGCTTGCGTACGCAGTTCCGGCACCAATGGCAACGGCGAGAGTCTGGAGCATTTTCTGTGAGCTCTGGCCCAGGGAGACCTTCACAGTGGCATCTGAGCCGTGCGAGCTTAAATTCTATAAGTGCTTCGGGAGACTGAAAATCTCCAAACAGAGGGAGCTCCTGGATGTCTATTGCGAAGAGCTTCTCTCGTGGACCTACCTCTCAACATCCTGCCGCCAAGCTCGGGAGCTCATCCGACACCGTTTCGATTATATTCGTTCCCCGCGCCCATTCTGGCAGCCTTGCGTCTTCGATTGGTGCTTCGTCTGCGTCGCGCTCATCCAAGACGCAAAGAGAAACATTGCCACTAGAATGTGGGACAACGCGGCCACGTACCTGACTGCGAACGAGGTTCTGTCTGGTCTTTCGCACCTGCCCGGCTTCGAACAGGCCCTGGCAGCCATCGCGCGAGATATACCGCCGGACACAGACACGGACTCGGACGCCGACTCCGGGGAAAGCTCCGGCTCCGACGACGCCTCCGTGCATCCGCAGAACTGACTTTAATTAAAGATTGGCAAGATCAAGGTCTTCCCGACCCCAGACTACAAGAGCAAGCAACCAAACGACCCAGTGGTGCCCCAACTACCCTCGACAGGGAGCCTGCTGGGACCCAGCAAGTCGCGCAAGACGGTGGCCCTGATCTCCATGATTCTCGAACAGTACCGCGGCTGCTTTGAGCGCATCTACCTGTTTTCGCCAAGCATAAACGTGGACGACGGCTGGAGGCCGGTCAAGCAGTACATCGAAGAAACCATGAAGGTGAACACCGACCGGGAGCAGGTCTACTTCGAGAACTGGGACGAGGCGGCCCTGAGGCGCATCATAGACCAGCAGCGCAAGATAACCCAGGTGTCCAAGCAAATGAAGATGAAGCAGCTGTACCAGATCTTGATTTTGATTGACGACTTCGCAGATAGCCCCAACCTGCACAGGAGAAGCGGCGACTCAGCACTTGACACCTTGTTTATTTTCAAAAGTTTCGCACAA